ATGGAAGATGCTTTAACGAAGAGTGGAGTTCTCGCACTCCTRACTAGTTGGAAATTTTAGTTTAAAAAAAGTGTTTGAAATTTTATAAGTTTTCTAAGATGCATTTTTGAATTTTAATTTACTAATTTTAAACTTCGCTAAGCTGAGATATTTTTTAAGAAGTAAGGGTAAATTTCACTTTTTAGAAATCGTTAATTTATTGAAATGTCATTTATTRGACTAATAAAATGCAAGAAAATAGGATAGTTCGACATTTTCTTTATGCGAACGTGACATATAAAACCATCTTTTAGTAACTAATTAATATGATATATTACTATAATTAGAATGACAATCAAACTATTTCATTTTTTAATTTAATTTGATTCTCAAACCATCCCATGTTAGGTGCATAACCATTGTATTGTGTGTGTCTTCCTTTAAAAGTATTATCCWGTACCACGAGCATGACACAAGAAAATTAAAAATAAAATTTATTATTATGTATAAATAAAATATAAAATTTTCCATATGTAATTATTATTTGTTGATTTTTTTCTTCTATTGAAATAATGATGTTTAAATCTTTTTAATAACAACAAAAGGCTTTTATATATAATTACCGGGTACTTTTCAATTCGTATGTTTTAAAGTTACCATTTAATTTGAATAATAAAATGATGACGCAATTATCAAAAAGTAATATTTTATATTAACTAATACTTTTGAATATTACCTTTCAAAACATTTTTTTTAAAACAATTTTTTTAGTACAATGCGTGGGATGAGTATTTGAATTTACGATCTTCTAGTAGTATATAMGTATCTAACTTAAGTTGAGACTTTTAAARACACCTTTAAATATTAAATATTAAATATTCGTCTACCCAATTCTAAAAAGAAAAAATAAAAACAAAAGTAAAAAATAATTCTGTAAAACGTTTGAAAATTTATTCAATTCAGTATTTTTATTCGATTTCAATTCCATCATTTAATTTGCATTAGTAAAACAATTTTGAAGCTTTAGGACAAAATTATAATATTATGGAACAATTTGCATCTATTAATTATGGGTTATAATTTATAAGTTTGAATATTTCATTTTTACAATTTGGTTGTACCGTTGGAAAAAGAAAAAAAAACTATATACCTGTAAACTAAACGATTACACTTTTTAAATCAATAAAAAATATTAGTATTAATAATATGTTCTTACTAATAATATTATTTTGATATTTTTCATATATTTGATAATTTTTTTAATAATATTATAAAAATATCAATTTAYTTCTCATGTCAATATCAAATCTATAAATGTATAACAAAAATTTAATAGCAGAGGCTTGTGTGTGTATATATATATCTTACTATTACTATTGCTTTTTTTATCTTTTTTTTTTAATTTTTTATTATTGGAGAAAGAGAGCTATTTATTTTATATGGTGCCAATGATTCATCACATTTTCAACATGGCAGCACCAGCGGGTTGATGGGATATTTGGCGCACGATGTGGATAACGATAGCGACTCCAATCCACTCCTCTTGTCACACGACCCTCCCCCATACCTTGTTGTAGGCCCCGCTTTTTTAGCCCCATTCGACGCCGTTTAACCTTTTATTTATATATATATATTAAAAATATTGTATTTTTCATGTGCTCTCACTAAATATTTTTAAAATATCTATTTTACTTCATCTAATTTTAACTTTATCTATTCTAGTTCATATARTTTTAACCTTTTTATATATTTTTGTAAACATCAATTTTGGTCAACACTTTTAGATGGCGGTAGTTTTAATGTATTTATTTGCAAAATACTAATACAGATTCTATACTCAAAAGAAATTTCTTTAATACAAAGTTTGACAAATTTTGACAAAATTATTGAATATATGTGTTGGAACGCTGATCGGAATAATGAGATTAAAGACAATTGATTAAAATATTTATTCATTTATTAATGTACATAGACTAAATAAACGTTTTACAAGTACAAGAATCAAAATAGACAAAAGTTGAAAATAAAGTTAGAAATCGGAAAATCTTCATCTTTAGAGTTGTTATTATATAATCATACAATTAAAGCAAACAATGACATCAAGGGTTATTAAATTTCAAAAGATCACATCCACCACATTTTTCAACCGAACTTTTGTCATGTGGTATAATAGAAGATATAAGATCAAATATGAGAATATATATATATATATATATATATATATATAAATAATGAAGGTAGAATTATTGATAGTGGTCATGAAAAACAAAAGATCTCAATTTTAAATCATCAATTCAACCATCAAGCATAGAGAGAGAGAGAAAAAAAGCTCAAAGCATGAAGTTAACGTTGAGATATTAGTAACTTTCCTTTTCATAAGTTCCAATTTTCATTCAAATTTGAGTTGTAATGTTTTTAAAAGTAAACATGATTAAAAGAAATATATTATTCTTAGAATGTAGCATTATAAAAGTGGGAATATTTTAAATCTTTAACTTATAAAAAATATTATTGATTCTTGCTATATTCATCTGTAAAATTGAACAAATAGATATCATCATTTCATCTATGAAAAATACACACTATTATCCAAAAGTTTCGTTGTTGATATTTTAGAAGCATTTTCATTCATATTATTTAAAAAATATATCAATAAAACCACTACTGTAATGGTGTTGGTTTAATTTAAGCTATATTTATATTATTTCATCACCCATTTAAATGATATGAGAATTTGATTTTCTTTCCCTTCTAAATAGTAAAAAGAATTCAACACATGAAGTCAAAAAAAAAAACACATAATATATAAATTAGCCTACTAATTAAATAACATTTGTTTTATTTTATACTAAATATTTATATTATTCATCTATCAGTGTTTTACACTATGTAATTGACAATTAAATTATTATGTGAAAGTAGGGAGCACGAGCCAAATCATATGGTAAGACTTACAATATAACTTTAGTCGATCAGACCGTGAATTAGAAGGTAGCTTTAGTACAACCATATAAATTATGTGAATTGTAGAGGTGATTTTATGACTTAGAGTGAGACAATAAAAATCACTTGAGGCATAGATGAATCCATCATATACATAGCTGAACCACTAATGGGACCAGAATCGTAGCCCACTAGACGAGGTGACTTGTATCCCGCCATTTGAAACATTAAAAAGGTATGAGGCTTGATGAGATCGCAGTGGAGTTTGCTAGTAGCATACCTTTTGTTCTTTATGCATGTAGCGCCAATCTATTGTACACGTTAGCAACCCACCAAACCGCTCGTAGTATTACAATAGGTTTTGACGAGGATTTACCATTTTTTGTCAAACTACATCAAATGGACCATTGGACTAGGTGTGACTAATAAAGCTATTAAGTGACTAACTATATATATATATATATATATAACCATGAAGAAATAGGGGTTATAAACTCTTTAGTACATATTTCAACCAATTTTGAAACTTATATTAACTTAGCAAGATAGTGAAATTTGACGAGTATTACGATAATAATGTCTAAACTAGGTAATCTTATAGTACATTTTCTATCCTGACCTCTAACCGTAATACTTCTTAATCATTTTCACTTAGATCTCGTTTGGGATTGATTTAAATTGATCGTGAATGAATCAATTTAAAATCAAACATGTTCATTTACATTGGGTGGTTTGTTGACTAAGTATTAATTTAAAACTCTAATTTGGTACTAGAGCGTGTGTTTACTGTTTACTCTAATTTTAAAGTTCCAATTTCAACCCTTTCTAAAAAAACATTTGCACTATAATGTGTTTTCTTTAATACAAATTGTTATAATATTTAAGAAATAATCTAGAGTAAACAAAATATGAATTTAAGCCCAAAGTCTATAACATTTTAAATAATTATCTTTAAAAAATATATAAACTATAAAAAAAGTTCCACAAATTATAACAGTATGTTTATTTTTGTTATTATATATAAATCACAACATCTTAGTAAATTTACTATATACTATAATATAATTGTTTCATGTTTAAGATTAAAATTTACCTAACAATACTTTACTCTATACTACATACTACAGATGATTTTTCTTTTTCAACAACAAATCAATTATTTAAAATCTCTCAATCTTACATGTGAGGTAATATTCTAGAAAAGAAGCAATTATTTGAACAAACAATTATAAACGAACCATAAATTGACTAGCAAACAATCGAAAATGTAAATGTCAATTCAATAAAAAAGAAAAAGATATTCACAGATCACACCCCTGGCAGTAAAAAAGTTTGTACCACCAACAGAATGTATGTACCTTTTCCTTCAATATGATATTCTTATTAGGTTATTTTCACCAAATATATAATTTAGTCATTTTTTTTTCTAAAAGTTTTAATTTCAATATTTATCTGAAATAATTTTTTAAATGCAATTGAAATTTTCTAAAGAATAAAAATCAAATGGGAAACAACCAAGACTAAGGACTATGTTTAGCCCTTTGTAAAAAAAAGAGAGAAAAAAATTTGTAGCCATTTATTTTTCGAGAGCAGCCAAAACAGCGAAAAAAAGAAATATATATTTATAAATATAACATTAGGTTTAAAATTTTATATATATAAATTACAAATTTATATAATCATTTTTTTTGTTGATATGTTATCTACAAAAATACATTTAGTTACTAAAAAAATTTGTAAAATATTAAAATTTTAGCCTGAAATTGTTATCAATGAATTAACCCATAATGATTATTCGGGATAAAAATAAAAAAAATAATGGTATTTTAATAAATACATATTTATTTTATCCATTTAGTGTAATTTCTATTTTTCTTTTATATAGTTCCAATGATGACATTGGCAGCAGAATAAATTCTAAAAATTCACAAGCCATGAAGAAAAAACGAAATCTGTATATTTTAATTTTTATCAGCGAAAAGAAAAATGGCGGCTTTAGCAATTTGGAAAAAGAAAAAACGAAAAAGAAAAACAAAACCCTAATAGGAAATAATAAAAAAAGGGAAAAAATTTGGAGACGGCACAGGGCAGAGTAGGAGAGAGAAAGCTCGTAGTGTCCATCTCTTTCTCTCGCTCTCTCTCTGTAGTCTCTGCGCTCTCTCTGGTATCTCTTCTCTATAAATATCGTAGCAGAGCCTCCTTCGTTCGAATAAATCGGTGCCCTGTTAATAATTTGGCCTTCGCGTACTGTTTTTGTAAGGATTCCTACCTCTGTCTCTGGTTCGACGTGTCGTTTTCCCGCTGTGAAGAGATAGGGAACTCCAATGGATACTTATCCGCTGCACATGGCCATGGCGGCTCTCATAGGGGCCTCCGTCGTCGCTGTTTCCGCGTATTACATGCACCGGAAAACCCTAACTCAGCTGCTTGAGTTTGCCAAGACTGTGGAGAGGGAGAGGGACCGGGAGGATAGCTTGGAGGTGGACTCGAAGAAGCAGCGCAGTCATGTGCGCCGGAAGGGGAGCGGTTACAATCGGCGGGGCTCGGCTTCTCTGCCGGACGTTACTGCTATTTCCAGCGGGATTGATGGCGAGGAGAAGCGAAGTGCCTCGGTGCTGCTGGACGTGATTCCTGCTGGGCTGCCGAGGCTGCACACACTTCCTGAAGGTATGGATTCGATGGATTTCTCTCCTGGAGATTCATGGACTTGAATACATTAAACCTTTTCAGTTTTGTATATTAGTTTGTGCATTATGGTTTTGTTGGATTTCGAGGGGATGCCTGAATGGCGTTTTTATTTCCAAACAATTGAGGCAGAGGGTTTATCACTGCTTTGTTTCAATTTATTCAATTGATGTATTATCTTTAACTCTAGAATCATGATGAACTATTAAATTCTAGTGAGTCCCGGTTGATGTACTGTCTGAATCATAACAGAGTCATACGAGGATTTTCCGTGTGCGTCTTTTCATTATGTTTCCCAATTAGGAGTGTTTTAATCTTCATATGACGAATAGTACTGCAGTTCTCGTTGTATTTGGAAAATTAAATATGGTCTTCTTCAGCTCATTAACTGAGTCATACGAGGATTTTACGTGTGCGTCTTTTCATTATGTTTCCCAATTAGGAGTGTTTAATCTTCATATGACGAATAGTACTGCAGTTCTCGTTGTATTTGGAAAATTAAATATGGTCTTCTTCAGCTCATTAAACTCTTAAGCCGCTGTTATTCAAGAAGTATCACCTCATGAATTTTAGAATCCTATTATTAAATATTTTCTTCCTAAATTCTCCTACATGTCTGTAACATAATATCATGTCTACCTTCAATTCTTTTCTCCTTTCTTTTGGAACAAGAACGGATTACATTACCATTGAGATCACTCGAAGAATTTGGTATGAGTATGACAATCCATGGTGTAGAAAATAGATAGAGATCAAAGCTTGAAGATTCTCATTTCTTATTTAAAAATTTAAAGTTTTTAGTTTCTTTGGTTTTAAGGCAGTCAACAAGTATGGTAATCTAAATCCTCAAGTCAACGAGTTTTAAGATGGCATAGCTATTTCATCCACTATGGCAATGCTTGGTAGGAGATTATTCCATGGGTGCGAGCAATCCACTCTGGTTTGTTTCATTCTGGAAATATATTTTTGGCTTGACATCTTTAGTTTGTGTGTTTTAAGAAATGCCAATGGATGGTCATGGGGGTGACCCATGGCTTTCCATCTAATCTAAAAATAGTTAGTATCAAATCAATTAATTCTACTGTCCTTTTGGCTCATGTTTTTCATTCAAGTCCAACTTCACAACTCATGACTTCATTCTGCCAGGAGCACTGCAGATTGTCTGAATTATCATAGCAAAATTTTCGACATTTTTTTTTTCAATTATAGACATTAAGGTGGCAAGGCTGCTAATATATATTAATGTACTTCCCCCCCTATTAAACACTTATATCAGGGAAAAATTCTACAAAGAGATCAATCAGGCCCACTTCACCGAAGTCGCCTATTGCAAGTGCGAGTGCCTTTGAGAGTGTTGAAGGATCTGATGATGATGATGTTGATGATATGAACGAGGATACAAAATTAAATTCAGCATATCTGCATACTAATGGAAGTGCGGTGGGTACATAACTCCCTTAAACGTTCTTATTTTTGTGGACACCAAACGGCATTTTAAGATTAGGAGTATTTACAGTTTTGCATTTAACTCCCACGTGCAGAATCCTGAATGTAAAGGCATATTTGAAAATCTGCCCGACCACATTAATGCCAGTGGAGAACAGATAGCCTTGGCTGCTTCAAGTATGATTCGATCTCATAGTATATCTGGTGATCTTCATGGTGTTCAGCCTGATCCAATTGCAGCTGATATTTTGAGGAAAGAGCCGGAGCAAGAGACTTTTGTACGGCTCAAAATTACCCCATCTGGTATTGCTAATTGGATCCTTTTTATGTGACTTATTTCTTTTGTTTCCCTGCCCGTTAGATGATAATACTACATAGTCATAACTTTAAGGTGCTTAACATGGTCGCACGTGTATTTGTTTGTGTTATGGCTGCACAATGACATAATCTTTCATGAAGAATGTGAAAATGACCAGAAAACACAATACTAAGTAAGCATGTCATTTAATTTGTTGTATTGTATGGATTATTAGGAACTAGCTCAGTGGCTAGTAAATGAAGTAAAAGTGAATTGTGTTTTTCTCATATTCATGTTGACATAATTTTTAATATATTTCTATTTGTCTGGCTTGATTTTTGTAGAGGTACCATTACCTGATGAAGTTGAATCATATCTTGTTCTTCAAGAATGCCTTGAGATGCGAAAAAGATATGTATTCCGGGAAGATGTTGCTCCATGGGAGAAAGAAATCATATCTGACCCCAGTACACCAAAACCTAATCCAGATCCATTTCAATACTCTCCGGAGGGCAAGTCTGATGTGAGTTTGTCATCATTGATAAATGAATTTAGTATATTGTGCTGCATGTTAGTAATATGTTCTTTGTTGTCATGGTCCTACATTTTATTATTTTCTCTCTTATTCATTTTATGTGTTTCCCTTTCTGCAGCATCATTTTGAGATGGAAGACGGGGTCATTCATGTCTATGCAAACAAAGATTGTAAGAATATGAGAGTTCGTTTCTTGGTAGCTATGATCCATGAACTTCGCATGTCTCTTTTCAATTGCTCTTCTTACAAGTACTGTTTAAATTATTTGCAGCGAAGGAAGAACTTTTTCCTGTTGCTGATGCAACCACCTTTTTTACTGATCTTCATCACATACTTAGAGTCACTGCAGCAGGAAATATTAGAACTCTATGCCACCATCGACTGAACCTTCTCGAACAGGTACATGTTCTATAATGCTTTTAGTTATTGAAATATTTGTTAATGCTTTTTATTTTGTATCCTTGATGATATGCCTATACATTCACTTCATTCAGAAATTCAATCTTCATCTGATGCTTAACGCGGACAAGGAATTTCTAGCTCAGAAAAGTGCTCCACATCGTGACTTTTATAATGTCAGGAAAGTTGATACTCACGTTCATCACTCGGCATGCATGAACCAGAAACATCTCTTAAGATTTATAAAGTCCAAGTTGAGAAAAGAGCCTGATGAGGTAAGGAATATGACTCTTGACTTATTGACAAGCATCTCTTCCCGTTTCTAGTTTGATTGTATAGATTGATGCCTTGCATCTTAAAATTCATTTCGTGAACTGCTTTCAGGAATTATCTATCTTATTTTTAAAAAATAATGGTTGATATATTCTTGTACTTAGGTTGTAATATTTCGGGATGGTACATATTTGACCTTGAAAGAAGTGTTTGAGAGCTTGGATTTATCTGGGTAAGTCTTTTCTTACCCATTTTCTTTGATAACGAAGAACCATCATCCAAAAAGGGGAAAGAAAGAGAGACTGTTTTTATCCACTCTGAACATTTATTAAATATGTCTGAGCGTGGATTATTATTTTCTTTTGACATGTGGAGCACAGGTACGACTTAAATGTTGACCTCTTGGATGTTCATGCTGACAAGAGCACATTTCATCGCTTTGATAAGTTTAATCTTAAATACAACCCCTGCGGTCAAAGTAGACTCAGGGAGATTTTCCTAAAGCAGGATAATCTAATTCAAGGTATATGTTGCTTTCTTACAAGTTATTAGATTTTACATGAGATAGTATGGCATTTGATTTTGTGATGCCATACACGCACATTCTCCTTTGTTACATATTTGGTTGGTCAATTTAGGGTTAAGGGTCTGTGATATACTTACTGTAATCAGTTAAGGAGCATTTATAATCTGCAAAGCCATGCATTTGCAGTAGATGTATTGATTTTTCTTCTCAACTGTTAGGTGTAAGATTTTTTCAATCTTTTTAAAAGATATTATGGATTAAATATTGTTGACAGATAATTGGATGGCTTCAATCCTCATTTCTACACTGGTATATGAACATATTTTCTCAAATAAATAACTCTATATGCCCCACATGGACACTCTGTCCTCACGATATTTAAAATTTGCCATATCCTTTTTGATCGTCATTCCTTTCATTAATGAATCATGATAGCATGAAAGTGTTTTATTGCTGGTCTAAATGAATGGAGATGTGGTTGTTGGTATAGTGTCATTTTTATTTATCTTCAAGCAACTTTACTAGACAAATGAATTAGTTTTTTATATTTCTAATGGATGTCATTTTGAAGGCCGTTTCCTTGGCGAGCTGACCAAACAAGTGTTTTCTGATCTTGCCGCAAGTAAATATCAGGTGCATCATTCTTCCTCCATATAGTTGGATGCGCTGTTATGGATTCATTTGATTTATGCCGTGGCTTTAATTTCTATATATTAGGTCTATTCTCAAGATTTCTCAAATGTAGTCGCTGTTTGTGAACTGTGTGCATATTGATTAGTTTTTTGGAGGGAAGGGTAGAAAGAAATTGACTGTCAACTGTGTGCTTTTAGTAATTTCTATGATGTTGGCTCTGTACGAATGAACCTAATCTGATCTGCCCCAAAACTGCTTGAGCCTCCAGAAAAAAAAAAGCATTTGCCAAAATGTAATTGAGGGGAGCCTCCAAAATCTTTTAGGTGCCGGTTGGTACATGAGAATGAGAAGAGAGCCAAACCAGAAGTCTCTTTCAATTCAGATTTCCTTTACAGACTCTGTCTTTACACTTATGACCCTTTTTTATGAAAGCTCACCATCATGTACCAAACCAAAAAGCTCTTTCACAGGGAGAGGAGTAAGATGACCAAAGGGTATTTTATAAGCAGTCCACCCTTCAAGAATATCTACCCTTAAAAGGTCGGTCAGAAGCACGAGGAAACTGCTACTAGACAAAATTTGAGAAGAAACAAAGTTGAGGGGATTCTCCCATTAAAAAAAGGAACAACAGTTGTTAGGAGATGAAGCCGCCTTTGCTAATTTATCCCTCAACCAAGCAACCCAAGCTCACCTAAGTCTTAACTCTTGAAGAGAAGAAGAATTTGCCTTCAGCCTGCTTTATATCATTATCTTGTCTTCAGTCTTTGATCTGGTGAAGTGCAATGGTTTATGTTTGGCCACGAGACGAGACATTTCTTACCTCCCTTGTTTCACTGTACTAAAAATTGTACCTACAGAACACCATTTGGGGATTTAAAATTTAAATGAACTTGCGCAATTAGAAATGATGGAGTTATTTCTGTATACTTGTTTCTTATTCATATTTTGCGTGCAATATTCGTTTTTTGATGTCTCTATAGAACTTCTATTTCATGATATTTAATCGTTTAGAAAATTGTAATTGTAATATAATTGGCATGGGAAACAAATATTTCATTGATGTGATGAAATATATAAAAGGAGAAATCCCGAAAGTTGGGGATTACAAAAAGGCCTGCCAATTCATCCAAAGATCATGTAATTTGTAAAGATACAATTGGTATTTTTATGTTTATGAATTCTTTCCTATTATTTTCCAGTCTGAAATATTTTAGTATGTCCAGGATCGTGTACAGTATCTTTCACCCTGCACCCTTTGCATCTGTCTTAATTTCCGAAAATTTACATGTCATGTCCATGTTTGGGAGTAGTCAGAGGGTCTGAATCACTCTTTATCTTAAAACAAGGAGAGATTGGTGCGGTACATTGATCAGCTAGCAAAAATGTGATACTCCCTTGATAGATTGCTCTCAATTCCAGCATCCTTCTGATGCATCAATACATCCATGAATGGGCATATGCATTTTTGGAAGAACTAAAGCTGATGAGCTAATGAATTGGTACAAAATTTTTACTAGCATGTTTATGGCTCTGTAAAACCTAGATGGCATGGATGCATGAGAACAAACCCATGATAACTTTATGCAAGTATAATGTAGATGAAAATAATTATTGTGCAAAAATGTGGATGGAAATATTGTATTGTCCTTCCCACTCTCAAGACATGGATGCCTTTCTATTTTACCATGTTTGATGTTTCATTCTTTTAATGCAGATGGCTGAATACCGGATATCTATATATGGAAGGAAGCAAAGTGAATGGGATCAACTGGCCAGTTGGATAATTAATAATGATTTGTACAGCGATAATGTCGTATGGTTGATCCAGGTAATCAAAAGCACAAAAAGGACCTCCTTTTGGCTTATCATATATGCTGGACTTGTCACAAATTTGGTTCTGGTGTACGGTAATTGGTTTTGTTAAGTGAACAAAAGTTGCATTATTTCTTGGAAATTATTTTTTCATCAAATTTGTGTCACAGTTTTTACTTTTATGCTTTTTGTGAAAATTAGAGTTTTTGCGGTTCTTAATTGTTATCCTTCGCTGAGGAGCTGCAAATTATCGTCATTTTGATAGGATTGCTATTAAGATAGGTTGGAGATATTATCAGGATAGTAAGGGTATATTAGTAATTGGGTTTGGAGTTCAGTTATAAATAAGGTGAGGGGGAGATAATTCGGTAGCTATGGTAGTTCTTCTATATTTTATCTTTCAATGCATTGTTAGTGTTCAGGTTCTATTTCTATCACATTGGCATACTTGGGGATTTCACTAATCCTTTAGTTTGTTAGTAAGTTTACATATGGCGTACTATTGCATCCTACTAGGTCTGCTCTTTTCTTGAACATATCAACTAGGACACTGAACGGTAACTTTATTTTAAAAAACTTGTCATACTTTTTGTATCGGAGGATCAAAATTTAGATGCTATTTATTTCTGCCTTATTTTATTATGGTTTTTGTTTCAGCTGCCACGACTTTACAATGTGTATAAGGAAATGGGTATTGTGACTTCATTCCAAAACATTCTTGATAACATCTTTATTCCGTTATTTGAGGTGACGGTAGATCCAGATTCACATCCCCAGCTGCATGTTTTCTTGAAACAGGTTTGTTTTCTCCCAACAGAATCTTCAATTTTCATCTTATTGGAGCTTATCAGTCTGTTTAAACGAAGATAGCGTCTAAGTATGTTTTATAGATTTATTAATATGGTTGCATTTGAAAGTATTGTTGATAGATTGTGTTTTAATTTATCCTGCTATAGCAACTTACGTTACATCATAAAACTTGTTGACTAAATTTGTAACATTTTAAATTTTCATTTTCTCCTTTGTGAAACATTTCAGGTTGTTGGTTTGGATTTGGTTGATGATGAAAGCAAGCCTGAAAGACGCCCTACCAAGCACATGCCGACGCCTGCTCAGTGGACGAATGTGTTCAATCCCGCATTCTCATACTATGTCTATTACTGTTATGCCAATCTCTATACATTAAACAAGGTTGATTACACTAAATGATCTTAAGCTCCTTATGTTGCTGTCATATTTATCTTTTACCATATATCTCCTTTCTCAGGGGATATTTATCTTTTACCAAATCTTAAAGCACGCAGCAATCTATTATTTGAATGTGGTATAAGTAGCCTATTTCAAAATTTTATGCTCTATAACATAATTTTACGACATTTTAGACAAGCCTGTGAAACTTAGAGGGATCAAGTCTTTATGTTTAAAGTTTCTAAACCTTTATTATTAATAACTACTCGACTCCGTGATGACTTTTCTAGTTAAGCTTAGTTTAACAAGTAATAATAATTCTCAACACAATATAGGTGATTTCTATATGTGGTGTTTTATATGTTTTGTTTGTATTCCTCGCCCTTTTTTGGGGTTCTCAATGTTTCTTGTATTGATATCATGGCTGCTGCTTTGGTCTATGCTTCCTCGATGTTTAATTTTTGAAGTGTTGATAACTTTTGGTTTTGCTTTTCAGCTTCGTGAATCGAAGGGAATGACCACTATAAATCTTCGTCCACATTCTGGAGAGGTACCTGGGAAGTTTATTCAAAATTGATGCTTATGTCACATTGTTACACAATCTCATGTATAGAATTCTTTTCAGGCGGGTGATATTGACCACCTTGCTGCAACTTTCCTAACTGCTCATAGCATTGCACATGGAATCAATTTGAGGAAGTCTCCAGTGCTTCAGTATTTATATTATCTAGCCCAGGTAACGAGGCAGTTTTTTTCCCCCAATTAACTCACAGAATTCATCATTACCATTACCATCACTTACTTCGTACACGGCACGTGCATTAACAGGTTGGTCTGGCTATGTCTCCACTGAGCAATAACTCCCTATTTCTGGACTATCACCGAAATCCCTTTCCCATGTTCTTCTCTCGTGGTCTTAATGTCTCTCTTTCTACTGACGACCCTCTTCAAATCCACTTGACAAAAGAACCTCTGGTGGAAGAATATAGCATTGCTGCTTCGGTGAGTTATCTTTCCTTGACCTTACCCTTCAACATTCTTCCCTGAGTTGAGTTGGGGTGTTTTAGAATGGTAAAAAATGATTTTAGTTCATTAAAAGCACTTTTTAGAATTTTTAGTGTTTGCTTAGACACGGTTTTGAAGCACTTAATAAATGTCTCTCCCAAAAGTGCTTATATAAGAAATGTTTGCGCCTAAAAGTATTTCCTTCAAAAGTTATCTACAACTCGTCTATACTCATGCATCTCAATATGAAGGGGTTTTCCTAAAAAAGAAATAATTAAATTAAAATCTTATTTTACAGGTGTGGAAGCTAAGTTCTTGTGACCTATGTGAAATAGCCCGCAATTCTGTCTACCAATCAGGTTTCTCTCATGCTCTGAAGGTACGTACAGAACTCCCAAGTCATCTAAATTATTAATTCACTTTTGCATTAATATATGATGCAGTGAAAATATTCCTCTTATTAATTCCTGCACCCACATATGATGCATCAAACTATGATCTAGTTCAATATGTTCGATGGGAATCATAAATGATTTCTACTTGTCTCCTTAGAATCTCTTTTTGAGTGTGGGATGTGGATTTGAACCTCCAACCTCAAGGGAATGAATGAATAGATGCGTTTACTGCTGAGCTATTTCATTTGGTTGTCTCCTCCGAATCCTAGATGTTTATCTTTTTCCTTTTATTGTAAATCAAGACCAGTGATAGCAAGCTATGGACAGAATGTAACGAGCCAAACTAATTAAATTGAGTTCCCATTCGCCGATATTTGATATTATCTTTGTCCTGGTGGCCACTTAGATTTAAACTCCTACGAGCTTACATGGTAGTCAAATGCCTGCTTTTTGCCCATGTGGATGTGTGTTTTATCCCACACAAATACTCGGGATCTTTGAGATTTCAACTTTGTTGTTGCAGTCACATTGGATTGGAAAAGAATATTACAAGAGAGGACCAGCAGGAAATGATATTCATAGAACGAATGTGCCACACATTAGGGTGGAATTCCGTGATACGGTATATATCTTTTTCTGTTACTGTATTCTATTTTTCCTCGTCGGTGTCACCTAACAATTTTACATCTCTGTGTCCCTTTATTTTTATTATATGTTAAAAAACAAAGATCTGGAGAGAGGAAATGCAGCTGGTTTATCTGGGAAAGGCCAACGTTTCGGACGAGATTGAAAAATGAAGAATGACAGGGAAATGCTTTAAACCACATTGGAATATTTATATGTCTATTGATGGTGGTTCGAAGATTCAATTATTTGTTGATCGCGCCTCAACGAAGGAGCTGGGTTTTGATTCATCTGGTTGTGAAGGGACGAAGTTTATGTGTACATTCTCCAATCCTGGAAATGGAGAAATTACAAACGGTAGCGGAGGGTTCGTCTTGCAGAAGCTATGATATGGGCATAATTTTACATTGTTCATGTGACAAACTTTTTTTCTGGAAGAGATTGACACTTTAGATCTCGAAGGACAATACTAATATATATATATATACATACATATATATATATATATATATGTACGTAGCTTAAATAATCTTAATGTTGGAAAATAATAAGGGGACGTAACAATAAAGTTAGTGTTTTCCCACGGTTGGAAGGGGAAAAGGCTCCCTCTAAATCCATTTTTGACTATCTTTAGGTTTATAAATTTTAATTTAAGCATTTGCTCGTAATTTCATGAACACCCTTCATTTTTCTGTCTTGATTTTGCATTTATTTTATTGCAAAGTTAAGCCCATAAATTTCTTTACCAAGTCAGTCCTCCATGATAGGAATTAAGATGAAACAAAGAATTGGTTACGTAGAGAGTTCAGTCTAATTAATCCAACTTGTAATCAGCTCAACCTATGACTTGTAATGGTTGGGTTTGCTGAGTTCCAAGTTATATTATTGTTTAATCTGTTTGATTAAACTTGTGTTGAAGACATTTAAATATAGATAAATCTTAATTGCAATTAAATTAAGCCTCTCTGGTAGAATTTAATTTTAAGTTTATGAATTTTGATTCAACGAGTTCAGCGAGCCATTCGAGATTTTTTTGTTCTAAATGTTTTCGAATTTTTTCATGGGGATTCACGTGAACAAGTGTTTTCAAGTTCGGAGGACTCGTACTCGGTCGGATGGGTGTTCTCCAGTAATCATAAGAATATAGCAACTCTATATTTCATCTTCGGTGAGAGTCCTCTCACTTTCCTTCCATCGTGTCATTATATTTTAATCTTTTAAGCTCGAATAAAGTCTTCAAGATTAGTCCTTCACCCAAAGTTGGCAATGTTATGGTTCAACAACAATTGTTTACAAATATTTGAAGCCAACATTGTGCACGATGGAGCGGGGTTTCTTCATAGTTAGTAATCTATGGCCCATCGTTCTACTCCATACTCTACATTCTAATTAAACCAGAAGGATAGGCTTTATTAAGTCATTGTAATTGAAAGAAATCTTGATGAACTAATTCTGGTTCTTGCCATCCTCGTCTCTGCTGCCTTTTTGGAGTTTTGGTTCTCATTGAAATCTTTATATTCAAGAACAATAACTCGGCTTGAGACAGTGAGTCGATTTCCATTAACCGAAATCTCCAATGAGAAAGTGGAGGATCATAGATGGAGCGAAATGAAAAAACAAAATGAAACTATTTTTTCATCAATTATTTTCAAATTCTTGCGCTCGAATTACTAACCAAACCAACCATAAAGATTTACAAACCATCCACTAATTTTCATCTATGATTCAATGACCTAACTTGTCTAACAAAATTACGTTATTAAATCCATGCTTGAAAATTTGTTGTTTTACTTTTTTTACTTGGTTCAGTGAACTAATTTTGTAATTATATAATAAATTAAACCATTAAAGAAGCAGAGCCAACAAGCTACTTACCTTACATCAAAGTAGGTTTCTTTTCTTTTGTTTTTTTTTTTTGTGAATTTTAAGATGAAATTTTGAATATCGAGAATATATGTTTCCAATTGAGCTATGCTCTAATTGATAATTAAATAGTACTAAAAAAAAATTTGATAATTAAATAACCTAGCAAAATTTCAAATATTTTGTTGGCAGAATCATAATATTTAAATCATTTTCTGAGAGAAAAACCAACCCCTTGCTTACCATTTGATAAAACTAAAACTTGCCGAAGTCATCATGCTTATGATCCACTCATCTCCGAACCTTACCGATACAAAATTAGCTCCTAAGAGATGGTCAGAGTTCTAAATTATTACACCACCATTGGTCTATTGGATAATTATTTTATTTTAAATTTTCTATTTTTGAAGATTAAACTTATCTAATACCATTTTCACCTGTGTATTTCTCTTCTTTGTTACCTACTCTTTTACCAAAATTTTAAAGATCTATGCCAAAACTTAACAACGAAAAACTCGATTTTAAAAAACGTGTCTTTACTTTAAAATTACGCAAAGAATTTAGATGTGTTTGTAAAAATAATGAAATACATACTAAAGAAATTTAGTAGGTATAATTTTTAACAACACAAACAAAAAGCAAAATTATTATCAAACAGAGCCTAAATTTTCCACCCAAAACTTATACCTAAGAACTTCAAAAGATGTACACATCTCAAATCCTTACCACCAAAACCACTCCTAAAAGTTGCCAGACCAACTTGGTTAAATTTTTAAATACTAGCGTAATTATGGAAAAATCCCATAATTTTTTACTGAATTTCTGTCCAGCTATGAAAACAAACTTTTAAAAAACAAAAATAAAAGATAAAAAAAACTGTGCCTAACAAGCTACCCCAGAAATTTTTGCCCATCAGACACGACCAAATGAGCTTAGCTGAGTCGTGTTTTCCAGTTTTTGGCCAACAAAAAGATAGAATATCAAATGGTTACCAGTTTGCCACGTGTTTGAACTTTCTTCCGGACAAACCAGTGGATGGGAAAATAAATCAAGACGTAAAACAAGAAAATTGGGCGCAAAGGCAATTTTCATACATGTAGCTGAAAAGGGTTTAAAAAATTGAGTAGTTTGAACAGCATACCGTATGAATAACCAATCTTTCAGGAACTACCTGCAGTTAAATGTGGCCAATTCTCTAAATAAGTTGCATTAATGTTATAGATATGAAACAATATTATTAACTAAGACATGACCTATCATAGGTATCAACCTGCCATAGATGCCAAACAATCGAAATACCCGGGAAAAATGTTGAAGCTCGAAAAATAACGGACCAGATTGTAGTAGTATGATAGAACTTGGTTGACCAAGAACTTTCTATTTCTTGTACTGCTTTATCTCTTTGATGACACCATCTGCGAGTGAGTCAACGTCGTTGTTCTTCCCAAAAAATTTTACGAATTCCATGCTTTTAGGACCCATTAAGTACCTGCACCAGATTTCCACACAATATAGTGACCAGACTTCACGTAAGATGACAAACTTAATTGGAAGCGAATCAAAACTGATACTTACATCACTATGGAGTGATCGACGAGATAATCCGAGTCTTCCTCTTCAGTCTTCATATAATAAACTCGATATGCTCGAGCTACATTGCGTATCTCCTCTGAGGTCCCAGTTAGCCCAACCAAGTCCGGATGGAATTCTACAACATTAGGACAAAAATTATATTAGTTTGGCATATCTAACAAGCACCACAAACAGATGGAAGGAAAATTGACTCCTTTGGCACCTTTGACATATTCCCGCACTTGTTCTACGGTATCTCTCTCGGGATCAACAGAGATGAAGACAGGCACAATTTTAATTCCTGCCTTTTCTTCTTCCAGTAGAGAAAAGATGAAATAATAAACAAACTAATTAGCTGAGGATAAATTAACAAATAAAAGAAGTTCATCAGAAAATAAATGTCACAACACAACAAAGGTAAAAATGTTGGAAACAAATAAACAATCAAGTATTTTTGGGAACACGATGGATTCAGCATATAGCTTTACCTTTTACTCGTCAAAGAAAAATATCAAATGCATTAGCAGTAGTCCTCACTATTAAAAGCTTCATGTTTGTCACAAATTATCAGGACACAACACAATATAGTTAACTCAATGAAACAAACGATCATTTAAAGATGTCCCAAGAAACTATATATTAAGCACTTCTCATGTCTGCCATCATAACATTTTTTCAATATCAAAATGAGAAACCGGTGGTTTTCCTGGGAGACTGGATCCAAAAAAGTTATGTATTTTAGAACCAAAATCGAATAGTGTGTAAAGCTTTCGAAATCATTATACATGTCTACAATTTCAGTTTCCAAAAAGCAATAAATCAGAGAGAATAAGCTAAAGGAAAACAAATAAAAATAGATCTTTCAAAAAAATTTACTTGAACATATTTCACAATTTTATTTTAGAAAACAGAAGACTATGTTGAGACTAGTCTCTCAAACAAGCACCGGCATATGTATGAAAGAGCAAATGACTAACTGATTTTATCAACTGCGGCAGCTAGCTTTTGTAGCTCGTCTGGGCAAATGTCCGGACAGTGAGTGAAGCCAAAATATACCAATGTCCATCTCCCGAAAAAGTCTTTTTCTGTGACCTTCTTCCCATCATGATTGATAAGTTTAAATGGGCCCCCAATAGCTGCTTTTCCTACAGACGGTCCTTGTTTGACTTCTATGGAAGCCTTGTTTATTTCTGTTCATTTAAAGACGAATAATCAAATCATGCGGGGCAATTTAGAGAAAATATTAAGAAATAAACTCACACGCTAAAACAAAAAATTATGCCCTGGCTACTAAAAATTCCTTTCACTAATGTCATCCCTAAGATCAACCAATGTGCATAATTTTAAAATAACCATTTTAGCAGTAAATAGTTTCCAGTTCCTAAAGATGGTACAACGGCTGGAAATGGACCACAAAAAAATTAACTAACTACACAAATGGATGCAGCAAAATCAGAAAAGAAATGCACCAGGTTATTGTCTCATTTCATACAACTAAATACTTAGAACAGCAATTAAATATGATATGAGGAAAGATGAAAGCAACAAGAGTCAAGTTTCATTTGAATGAGCACCTCAACTTGTAACAATAGATCACCACAACAAACTCCATTAACAATTCTCATTATCTGGATAACTCTCAAATGTCACAATTAAAGGTTTCAAAACCTACAGATATGACCTAAAAAAATGGACCGGACAAGATTGTTACTTATACCAAGTAAAAGCAACATTCATCCACATCCAAGATTTTATAAAGCGCACATTAACATGGAGCAGAGGGATGAATGAGGTATCAGTACAGTAAATAGCCTACCAAAAGTACCTGGGTAGAACATGCTAAATGGACTGTGAACGTCTTGGAAGGCAAAATTAATTGAAATATTTAAACCATATATACCTATAAACCATGTTACGATTTGTCAACCAAGCTACATACAACATAAATTTTTCTTGTTCGAAAGAGCTCTTATTGTATACAGAATATCTTCTTTTCTAAGAAAATGTGGGGAAGCATATTTATTCCACTCAGGCACTCACCATAGTAGTCTACCTTCGATATGACGTTTCTTTTCTCTGTCATAATAAAAAACCAGTCCCGCTCCAGTGGCAACCAGCAAAAGAAAACTCAGCCATGATACGGGCTGCAGAGAGTATTTCAATAAGCTCGAAACGATCGATATCCTAAGAAGAAAGCGATAGATGAATGTAAGAAACCCATTAGAACAGCTAAAGGTAACCATACCCCACCGCGAACAGATTTTCCAGCATCGTTGCTCTGATTTGATTTCCCCGAATCATCCCCTTCACTAGAATTGGACTCTGTCGATCTCTCGGAGGCTGGGCTTTGAGAATCAGCAGTAGGAGAACCGGTACCATAAAGCCGCCTCATATACATAGCTAAATAATTGATCCCAAGCCCCTAAGAAAGAAGAAAAAAAAAGGTACTGATAAAGCGAAATGCTAAACAAAGTTTATATAGTATAACCACCACCGATGGTGACAAGTGAGAATTTAAAAGAAAAACTAAGGAAAACAAAAATCATAGTACCATCGTGCCAGTATTACTAATTTCCCCATTGTTTCACTTTCTTTTACATCGTTTCTTCCCCATCATTAAACGAAACATTCTCAGTAGCGTACAATCTACGATATCTTCCACTTACTTGCCAATTAAAGCGATTAATCAAGCACATCGTATAAAGTTCACAGATACAGGATTTGACTTATCAACGACTCCTTAACAACTACTTTCCCGAAGTACAAACTGAATGTTAGAGCAGATTATTATTCAAAATCAATAAGGAAACCAACCGACTGAAGAAGGGGAAAATCTCGATCATGAAGATTCGCGCCAGCGACAACAGAAGACGAAGGCGAATGCGAATTCGAATGCGAACGCAAGCTCAAACGGTGTAAAGAGAGACAGCGATTTGCATAGTGGAAATGCTTCGCACCTCTAGAAATAATGGTCGCCATTGTCGATAGAAATTCTCGTAAAACCCTGAGCGGTGGAAATGGCCTTCGGAAACCCTCGTTGCCGGAATTTGGAGGGAACTCGGCGATCTATACGTAGGGACGAATTCTGGACCCAACTTTTCAATTGTAACGAGATCTTACCAAGACCGTGGGCCGTGTAACTTGGATCATTATGAATTTGGGCCCAATCTATCATGAGCCCATAGTGGTAGGGTTGCCGCTCATTTGTTTGCCATCAATTTTAATTTTTAAATCAGTAAATATATTAAATTACAAAAATAGACTATTTAAGATGTTAATTTGTTTTTAGTACATAACTTTGAAGTTAATCCTCCCTTTCTAATTTAATAAAAAGAAAAAAAATAAATTATCAATTTAGTTCTAGACGCGAGCTTTGTTTTAGTTTGATTTCTATAATTTCAAAATTCTCAAATCGATTCTTACAATTTAATCAAATTTCACAAACTTTTATTTGTCATTACCATATAGAATAAGTGACGCATTTGAAATTTTTAAAACATAAATACCTTAATTTAAATCCAAACGAACTATAAATTTATGTTGATCAGCTAAATTTAAATCGATTAAACCCAAATACCCATTTCCATTTCCACTGACTTTGCTTTTGAATTCGCTTAAAAAACCTCCTATTATTCCTGCAATAGATCTTCTCCCATAATAAACTGTTAGACTTTGTTGGCATTTTCAAAAAATAATTTACCTACTCACCCATATCCCAAAATTAATTATTTTTCCACGAAATATCTTCGAGTAAAACTCTCCAAGTGAGAGAAAAAGACAACCTATGCAGAGTTCACGCACTCCATACTAAACAATGGGAGGAAAAAGAAATTGAAAAATAATTTCATGAATATAGATTGAAGCCATTTTTTGAGCGCACAAACTTTTGTGTTTGTGTTTGTTTTGAGTTTATTGCTACAAATGGGCGAAAAGAATTTGATTCCAAGTGTCGGGGACGCCGGGGAGGCACCAGT